TTGGGGGAGGCTGTGAAAGCAATGCTCAGAGGTAAATATACAGCACTGAATGCATATATTAAAAAAGATCCAACTATATTATATTCTGAAAAGGGCAAAACAATGAAGACAGTAAAAACATCAGTGGTTCCCTGGGGGGTGGGATAAATAGGTGGAACACAGAGGCATTTTAGACCAGTGAAAATACTCTGTATGATATCATAATGATGGATATGTCATTACATATTTTTATCCAAACCCAATGAATGTACAACACCCAAGAGTGAATAGCAATTTAAACTATGGACTTTGAGTGATTACCATGTCAATGCAGGTTCATCAATTTTAACAAATGTACCACTCTAGTGGGAGATATTGACAATGAGAGAGTCTATGCATGTGTGGGGAGGGGGTACATGGGAAATCTCTATTATAATCCCCTCAATTTTTCTGTGAACCTAAAATTGCTCATTAAAAAAGTCTTAATAAAAAAATGTAATAAAGTTACTACAAGTTTATATTGAGTTACTTTACAACTAGTTCTCAGGAAACATGTTTCCCGCCTTCTTCCTCTTCGTATTGGCTCCCTATGCCTCTTTTTAATGTTTCTTCTTGATTCCATTGTCATCTCAGCACATGAAAAGTTTTCTAGTTTGGCTCCCAATAGTTGTTTGGTATTCCAATTCCAAATTCAAGAGAAATAATGTGAACAGCCTAGCCCACATCAGCTATTCAGCTCTGATTTAAATACCTGGTACCACTTTGGCTGGAGATGGTATGTGGCATGGAAGCATCCTTAGACTAACCCCTCTACCCACTGGTCCTTAGAATGATGTCTCTGCATTGTCAGACAGGTTTTTTTTAAAAAAAGGTTGAGGGCAAGGTCAGGTAACAATCTTAAATGTTCAAACGGGGGCGGGGGGGAGGCAAATCTGTTTTCAATTCCTCAATATTTTCTTAATTTAGAATTGATGCAAAAATGAATTCATGTACAAATAAGGCTAACTTTCTATTATAAAGTTAATTTTTAAATTACACTTAACTCATTCCTATAGTTAAAACAAAATTGTACTAGATGGAAATTAAATGCCAAAAGAAAATTTTTAAGTTAGTAAATATTTTGGTGCATCAGTTTTTTTTCATCTTAATATGGAAACAATAAAATGGCTATAAGGATTAGTGTGAAAATATGTATAAAGTAAATATTGCTCTTAATTTTTTTCCCACTTGATAGGTCTGAGCCAATGATTTCAGTACTTATTTTTCCATATTTGTTGAATTTACAAACCATATATGACTAAAATCTCTCTACTAAACTACACAGAATTCTATTCTTTCAGAATTAACACGATACAATGTTAGCACTCATTGAACATAGTTTCAGAGAATAAGGACTCATTGTTCTGTATCAAGAATTTGCAGGTAAAAAGACAAAGAGGACAAGAGCTCAGAATCTAGTGTTACAATGCATACAACTAAAATCCAAGGTGGAAGAAGCACTCTGCCTAGGCTAGGGAAATCTAGGTAGGTATTTGAAAATTTTAAGGGGAAATTAAAAAAGGTCAATGGATAAGTAAGCATAAAAATGATAGAGAATAGATTTGAAGAACTGTAGTATGGATAAAACGTCACAGGTTGGAAAAAGGTGGTGGAATATTATGAAGATGATGCTTGAAAACAGAGGTTGGAACCCGATTGAGAAGGGCTTTGTAAAAAAAACAACTAAGAAATTTGAATTTTATATGGTAGGCAATGGGAAGCCATCAGAGATTTTTATGGAGCAACATTTGTAAGGACAGACTGCAGAAAGGGGCAGAAAGCATTACTTTTTTAAAAAAGGCATAGCCCTGGCCAGTGTGGCTCACTGATTATAGAGTGTCGGCCTGCACAGTGAAGGGTTGCCTGAGTTCAATTTCTGGGCAAGGGCACCTACCTGGGTTGCAAGTTCAAGCCCTGCCCCAGAGGGGGCCTGTGCAAGAGGCAATCAATGGATGTGCCTCTCACATTCATGATTCTCATTCTCATTCTCTCTCTCTCTCTCTCTCTGCCCCCTCTCTCTCTTCCACTCTCAGAAAGACTAGTACATTTGATTTCACTGATATGTGGAATCTAATGAACAAAATGAACTAAGGAGCAAAATAGAGACAGACCCACAGAAAGCAGGCTGACAGCTGGGGGTCAGGGGGAATTGGGGAGCTAGGTGGTGGTGGTGGTGGTGGTGGGATTCAGAAAAAAAAAGAGAAAAAAACTCACAAACAACAGTGCAGTGATTGCTAAGGGGAGGTGGGGGAAGGGAAGGTGAAGGAGGGTATAGGGCAGGGGTGGGCAAACTTTTTGACTCGAGGGCCACAATGGGTTCTTAAACTGGACCGGAGGGCCGGAACAAAAGCATGGATGGAGTGTTTGTGTGAACTAATATAAATTCAAAGTAAACATCACTACATAAAAGGGTACGGTCTTTTTTTTTTTTTAGTTTTATTCATTTCAAACGGGCCGGATCCAGCCCGCGGGCCGTAGTTTGTTTGCCCACGGCTGGTATAGGGGGTATAAATGGTGATGGCGGGATATCTGGCTTGGGGTGGTGAACATACAATACAATGTACATATGATGTGTAATGGAACTGTGCACCTGAAACCTGTATAATTGTTCACCAATGTCACCCAAATAAATTCAATAAAAAGGAAAATAAAATAAAAAGGCATAAACTTTCTAATTAAATCTAGTTTCTGACCTCAGTTCAAACATTTGATTAGTTGTGTGAGAATAAATTACTGAACCCCTCTTAGCTTCAGTTTTATCTGAAAGTAGTACATATAGCAGTGCTATCTGTGAAGATTGAGATAATGTATCTAATGTGGTTTGTACAATGTTTAGTAACTCAATAAGAGATATATGTAACATTTACTATGTGCCACACATTGTTCTACAATGTGTCTATGTATTAACTCATTTGAGTCTCACAGTACTCCTACAAGGCAGATACTGTTATACACAGCTGAGGGAATCAAAGCACAGGAAGGTTAAATGGCTTTCTTAGTCACAAAGTTACCAAGTGGTAGACATGGAACTAACTCCAGTTCCATGCCCTTAATCAATAATTTATAAAGCCTCTTTAGGAAAGATCATGTCAGAGTTTTTGAAACTCTGGTCAAATTCTCTCTAGTTAAATTTATAATTAATAAATACAGATTCCTTGACCCCATCCTCCAGACCTACTCTGATGAAGCCAAGTAATCAGCATTTATTAATCCTCATCAGAGGATATTTTTTCCATTGATTTTTTTTTTTAGAGAGTGGAAGGGGAAGTGAAGAAGAAGGGGAGGGAGGGAAGGAAAGAGGGAGGAAGGGAGGGAGGGAGAGAGTGAAAAAGAGAGAGAGAGAGAGAGAGAGAGAAGCATCTCATGTGATTGGTTGCCTCGCGCCCAGGCCACGCAGCGCTGGGGATGGAGCTTGTCCTTGACTGGAATCTGAACCCATGACCCCTCAGTCCCTGGGCTGACGCTCTAACCACTGAGCAACTGACTAATGCTAGAATCATCATCATAATAAAAGGTAACATGCAAATGGTCATCATGCCATCATGCTGTAATGCCGATCAGCAGGGACCTGAGGCTGCGTGGCGCCGGGCCGGGGCGGGGGACCTGAGGCCCCCTGAGGCCGCGCCCCCTGCCCCAGTGCCATGACGTGAGGCTGTGTCCCCTGCCCACGGGGCTTGATGGGGCTGGGGCCGGCCAGGTCTTGGTGTCGCCCAATGGGGGTGGGGCCGGCTGGACACTTCTATTATAGAGAAAGGGAAAATAGCAATATTAATATATTTCCTCTAATTAATTACCTTTCAATGTGCACAAATTTCGTGCACCAGGCCACTAGTTATTTAATAAATCCGTCAAGGTAATGTGTATGCAATAAAATTTGGAACTCACTCATTTAGGGAGACAGAGCAAAAAATCAATGAAAAGAATCCAGATAAGGAAAAGATACATTAAAATGTAGACACTAATGTTTTAAAAAAAATTACCATGTGCTGGTAGCTTACACAAAATGAGAATAGCTCATGGGAAAGTATAGCGAATGTCTTTGCTGTAGTCTTACACAAAATGTTTAAATTTCAACGATCATAAATACTGAACATTTAAACCTATTTTCCCCCCAGCTAATGAAGAAACAAAAATTCATTAGCAGGGATGGGAGAGTGGGAGTGGCCAGCACTAGATGAAGGAATGTCTATTCTGAATAATGCAAAGTCCTACTTTGTAAGAGCTACTTATACACTTATATAGAATGATGCCCTGGTGTTAAAAATCTTAAAAGGAACAGAAAATACCTGTTCCTATAAAGCAAGACAAAATTAGCCTGAAAGTTTTCAATAAGGCAAGATATAAAATGTCCACACATGTAAAGCACTCATTTAGTGTCCGCTTGAGCGAAAGCCGACCCGTACAGCACTCACTTATGACATACATTTAAACGATTCCAGAAGGCAAGACTTTGCTACGGGGCTAGACAGAGTTTGCTATTTTAGGTAGTTCGTCATTACAAATAAACAAAACAAAAAACACCAAAATAAAAACAAAGCAAAACAAAGAAAACCCCACGCTGGAAATAGGAGTATTTCCAATGCGACTCCACAGTACCCCAGTTGGCCAATGAACAGAGGGGACTAGAGGCATGTCTGTCTGCGGCACCAACTAAACCTCATCCCTATTGTTAGCAATCGAATGCGACTCCTGTGAACGCTGCTCTTACTAGAGCCGGTTTAAATGGGCAAGAGTCTCGGGTTTCTGCGGTACAAGAAAAATGCCAAGCGTGGAAGCAAAACATCCGGGTTTTACACACAAAGGCTGCTCAGATTTCAGTTTAAACCCCTACCGGGCATTCCACAGCCTGTCACTTGCCCGCGGAGCCGAAGAACAGCCTGCTGCGGCCGCGCCCCTCGGCAAGAACCCGGAGCTCCGCCGCGCACCTCCGCATTCCAAACCTGTGCCAACCTTCCATCTTCGATAAAGGAGGGTTCTCCTACCGGTGGCAACGCGTTCGCAATCGGCTACAGCTACTGTCGAAGCTTCAGCACGCGAGCCGAATGGGCGAAAATGCTAACCAGCCATGACCAGCAGGTCAGAGACTAGACAAAAGTCAGAGGTTAAACGAGGCTCGTTACTATCACAATTGCCTCGTACGCGCCAACCCGCCGGAGCGCCGGCCGGGGAAAAGCTCCCCTGCGCCCCGACCTCTCCAAGACCCTACAGGCGGCCCCGCCACCCGGACACCCACAGGCAGCCCGAGGCCCCCGCGCCCCTGCGCCCCCGGCCGAGCCCTGGAACGCTCCCTTCGTCCCGCTCCCCAGCCGCTCACCACGGCGCGGCCAGAAGTTCCAGAAGCGCCCGGCCACTTTTCAGTTCTCGCGCTGCAACAACAGCAACATCCCCATCCAACGGCCTGCAAGATTCAAAATCTCCACTTCCGGCCGCAACCCGGAAGAGGACCTCGGCCCCGCCCCTCCGGGCGGAACACGCGGCGGTGCGGGAGGCGGCGGCGGCGGCGGCGGCGGCGGCGGCGGCGGCGCGCCCCCCGCGGGCTGCCCTCCCGACTGTGTCCGAGTTCCTTCGGTTTCTTTCGTCCGCCTCCTTGTCTCGGTGCACAGCGAGGTCGGGCGCTGGGTCGGCGTTTCTGCCCGGTGTCTCCTCATTGGGCCCTATTGTTTCTGAAGTTTCATTCCTTCAAGGAATGGAGAGAATAAAAGCAGTGACTTCCCCTCCGTAGACAGCAGTAACAGCAAGAAGTAAAAACACCCTCCCCAGGGTTGGTACGGGGTTTACCGAGACAGGACTTTTAACCTCGCTCCCTCCCGTGGTTGAGGAAGACTAAAAGCCAAGTGCAGTCATCAGAAAGTAAGTTGTAGGAGCAGAGCTGATCCCAAGTAAAAATTCCCACGATAAGTGCTAAAAAACGACAATCTTTTTTTTTTCGCCTTCTTCTCCTAAGAGATCATTTTATAAGATAATTGTAAAGATAATGTGTGAGATTCTTGGGGCAACAGTGACACTTGCCTTTTCCAAGGATTGCACAATATATTCCTTTTTTTTTTCTAGCTGACAGATTTATTCATACACTTAATAACTATGTATAGAGCACACTACATGAGATATTGTTCTAATGGTAAAAAAAAAAAGACAAAAATTATATAAATGTATTGCTAATGTAAGGAATGTTAATTACTTACATGTCACCTAAAAATTAAGGTTAAGGAAAATAGGGCTTTGGTGTAATAAAGAAAGCATAGGCATAGAAATGCATTTTGAAGGAGAAAGAAGGTAGTTTCTAAAGCTGGTTATTTCTGAAAGTTATAAGAATGTGTCTAATACACTTTGATATATAATCTTTTGGTAAAATCAAGGTTGACAATCCTGGAAGGGTTTGAATTTTAAGAAACTTTCTCTTGACCAGAATTGGCTTTAGATCATCCCAATAGGCTCCAAAATGCCTAGAATGTTTGTTTTCTCTCTCGTGAAAGAAAATTTTATGGTGAAGGTACATAGGAGCCTTTGTCAAATATGTTATTAGTTATAATATTATAGAATATTGGGTTTTACAGAAAGAATTTGCCGGGGATTATAGTGTGAAACTAGTTCACTGAAAATTCTGTGAATTAGAATGGCCAGCCTATGGTGTGGGTTGGCCCAGCGTTACCAGAGAGTTACATTTTACGGCACCAGGGCAATTAGGAAGGTCAGTAGGGGGAGATGTAACAATCAACTTTTATGGGAGACAGCTGCAGCAGGGAGGTTACGGGAGATGGCCGCAGCCCGGGAGTAAACTGAAAAACAAGCAACTTGATAAGAAACTAGACAGGCATTAATTCACAACGGCGCCAAGATTCCCAGAAGAGTGACCCCCTTGCTCCCCCCGTTTGCTTCCCCCGTTTGCTAGAGGGGTATATAACCGGTGCTTAAACTCTTAGTCAGGGCTGACAGCCGCTGCTCTGCTGCATTCAGAGTAAGCTGTAAGCCCCAACATGTTGGAAACTAAATAAACCCTTTGCCTTTTGCATGAGAAGCGTCTCTTGGTTCTTTGTGACAGCGGCTTGCGTCCTGGGCGTTACAAAACTAGTTCCCTGAAAATTCTGTGAATCAGAATGGCCAGCCTATGGTGTGGGTTGGCCCTCAGAGGGAACCCTAGATGTCCCAACTGTCAGGGCCCTCTTTGAGGTCATCACGGGTGACCCTGGTCATCCTGATCAGTTTTCTTACATAGATCAATGGCTAGAAATAGCTCAGCACAGGCCTCCTTGGATCTGGCTCTGCGTGTGTAAGAAGGGACTGAGTAAGGTTTTAGTGGCAGGAGAAAAGAAGCAGGTCCCTCAGAAGGAAGCTCAGCCCCCTGTTCTATAGGACCCTCCCCCCCACCCCCACCCCCCGAGGAAGTGCTGCCAATTTTACCACCTCCATATGTGCCTCAAGTGGCACCCAGTGCTCCTTTGCCTGGTCAGAGAAGCTTAGATACACCACCTCCTTCCATCCCCCACCCTCACCCCCCCAAACCAGACTCTCCAGAGCCAGTTGGATGACGTTTGCACTCAGCTGATCAGGGACACAGGCCACCCCTGGCTTTCCAGATGCCTCTCCGAGAAACTCGGGTCCCGCAGTATTGGGAGAAGATGGGAACCTACAAGAAGGAGGATCAGTCTTTCACTACCAGCCTTTCACTACGACCAATCTCTTAAATTAGAAGCATCACACTCCTGCTTATTCTGAAAAATCTCAGGCCATGGTTGAACTCTTGGAGTCAATTTTTCAGGCCCATAAGCCCAGCTGGGTCAATTGCAAGCAACCCTGATCTCTGCGGCTGTCATAGAAGCTAACTCCCAGAACTCTCAGGCAGGAAGGAAAGGGAGACAGCAAGGAGCCAAGTCAGGAAAAGGAAGGACGAGTCTTAAACGGGACCAGTGTGCCTATTGTAAAGGATAAGGACACTGGAAGAATGAATGTCTGAGCTGCCAGAAAAAGCAGGCAAGGCCGTCCAAACCACCCAGCTGCTATCCGCCAGATCCACCTGAGGCAGACCTCATCGATAGCGGCAGCCGACTCCGACTAGGACAGACCGGGCTCTTTCCAACTGGGCCCCCATGAGCCCATGGTCAAAATGAAAATTGGGGGCCAGACTGTGAACTTTATGGTTGATAGAGGGGCAGAGCACTCAGAAGTTACTCAGAAAGTAACTCCCCTCTCAGGACGGAAAGTCACCATTATCGGAGCTACCAGGGACCACACCCGCAGACCATTCTGCCGCCCCCACCGATGTCAGCTAGGCGGCCACCAGGTGGTTCATGAATTCCTGTATTTGCCAGACTGCCCTGTCCCTCTAATGGACAGAGACCTTTCAGCCAAAATGGGAGCAGAAACCACCTTAGCCCCGGATAGCTCAGCACAATTGCGCTTAGGTGAGGAGACCTCTTCAATGATCCTGTCTTTAGCAGTGCCTAGGGAGGAAGAATGGAGACTTTATACCTCCCAGTCAAAGGACTCACTATTAGAGCCTGAATTAGGGAAGGAATTCCCACTGGTCTGGGCAGAAGGCCTTTTTCTGCCTTCAGCTGGCACCCTCCAGTCAGCCCCTGTTTGCCTTTGAGTGGGAAAACCCAACCACAGGGGCTAAGAAACAGTTCACCTGGACCAGACTGCCACAGGGTTCAGGAACTCCCCGACTCCCTCTAGTGGAGCACTAGCATCAGATTTGTCCAAATTTCCAGGTCAGGACTTGGGGTGCGTTCTACTCCAATATATAGATGATCTCCTACTGGCCAGTTCCATGAGAGCTCAGTGTTGGGAAGGAACACGAACCCTTCCAAGACTCTTAACTGAAACAGGTTACCAGGTGTCCAAAAGGAAGGCTCAAATCTGTCAGAGGGAAGCCAAATACCTAGGTTTCCGAATCACCTGAGGGAAACAAAGACTGGGGACTGAAAGGAAGCAGGCAGTGTGTGCCATACCAGTCCCCAGCACCCAGCGACAGATTTGGGAATTCCTAGGGGCAGCAGGGTTCTGTCAAATTTGGATCCCAGGATTCTCAGATCTAGCTAAGCCCCCTCTATGAAGCCTTAAAAGGAGAGGAAAAGGCACCCATTAACTGGGGTCCTGAGCAGGAAAAAGCCTTCATGACCATAAAGGCAAAGCTCACTGAGGCGCCGGCCCTAGGGCTCCCAGATGTGACACAGGACTTTAACCTTTTCATTCACGAGAACAGCAGGGTAGCCCTAGGAGTTCTGACTCAGGAGTTGGGACCCTGGCAGAGGCCAGTAGCCTACCTCTCCAAACAGATTGACCTGGTTGCCTCCGGGTGGCCCCCAGGCCTCAGGCCCTTGCAGCTACAGCCTTATTAGTCAAAGAGGCAGACAAGCTCACTCTAGGACAGAACTTAAATGTTCAAGTGCCTCATGCTGTTGTCACCCTAATGCAGTGGTTCGCAACCTTCCTAATGCTGCGACCCTTCATAATACAGTTCCTCACGTTGTGGTGACCCCCAATCATAAAATTATTTTCGTTGCTACTTCATAACTTTAGTAATTTTGCTACTGTTATGAATCGTAATGTAAATATCTGATATGCAGGATGTATTTTCATTGTTACAAATTGAACATAATTAAAGCATAGTGATTAATCACAAAAACAATATGTAATTATATATGTGTTTTCCGATGGTCTTAGGCGACCCCTGTGAAAGGGTCGTTCGACCTCCAAAGGAGTCTCGACCCACAGGTTGAGAACCGCTGCCCTAATGGAAGCTAAGGGGCAACATTGGCTGACTTATGCTTGGATGACTCAATCAGAGGGAACCCCTGAGCATGATTGTCTAGAAGTCCTAGAGGAGGTTTACTCCAGCTGGCCATATCTAACAGACAGGCCTCTACAGAATCAGTATTGTTCACAGAGAGCAGTAACTTCCTAGATAAAGGAAAAAGACAAGCCGGGTATGCAGTGGTATCAAACTCTGAGATAATAGAGGCACAGGCCCAGCATGAAGGATGGTCAGCACAGAGGGCAGAACTTTGGGCCCTAGTCAGAAACTTAAATCTCAGTAAGGATAAGTGCGCCAACATCTACACTGACTCGTGCTATGCCTTTGCTACCCTGCATATCCATGGGGCCATATACAAGGAAAGGGGCTCCTGATGGCTGGGGGAAAAGAACTAAAAAAATCAGAATAAAATCTTGGAGTTACTAGAAGCAGTCTTGGAACCCAAGGAAGTAGCAGTCATCCATTGTAAAAGACATCAGCGAGGAAAAGACTAGTGTCAGAAGGGAACCGATGCTCAGACACAGCAGCAAAGCTGGCTGCTAAGGAGTGGGCGGCGCTATCGTGGATCATGCTGAATCCTGAATTACCTGAACCTCCGAAATACACCCCTCAAGGAGAAGAATGGGCCAACGAGAAGGAGGTAAGAGGATGAAGGAAGGTTGGTGGATACTCCCAGATCTTAGGG